CATCAGTGCAGGAGTGTGGAGTTGTCCAGAGCTAGTCCACAGTTTCTGGGCTAGCAGGAAATAACCCCTCAGGGTGCAGGAGAGCCAAAGTTAATGGATGGGCACGTGGGGGGAGTTGGGTACCCTGTTGGGTACAAGACCTGGAGTGTCTTGGGTTCTTATCAGTAAGGTTGTGAAAAGGTGGTCATTATAACAAACCTACTGACAGTGCAGCAGGAGCCAGAAAACCACTTCCTCCTGCATTGTCCCTCCAGTACCTCCTACTGACAAATTTGTTTTTCAAAAAATGTTTTGAGTTCAGTGACTTACCACTGGACAGGTACTGAAGGACAGATTTGGAACTGGGGTGACTAAGTTGATGGCTGGCACACCCTTCCTGTAAGTGTTGGAGCCACTGCCCGCGCTGTTGAACTGACAGGTGTCCCCTGCTCCGGGGCGGGAGGCGCGCGAATCACCGCCAGGGGGCGCCCGGCTGGCTCAGTTGGAAGAGCATGTGACTCTTGATCTCCGGCTTTTGAGTTCAAGCCCCACGCTGGGTGTAGAGATTAAAGAAATAAAACTTGGAAAAGAAAAAAGAATCACCACTAGGATCTCTGTAACTACTGCAGTTCAAAGACCTGCAATTAGCTGCCACTGCTGTTTTTAGAGCCAGAAGTAGAAAATGGCTTCACCTTTTCGCACAAAAGTACTTCTCCTTGATTCGGTGCAACTCAAGCCTAGTCAGCAAAGAGGCCAAAAACATGTAGTTTTCAGGCTTCCAGGAGCAACAGTACAGTGAATGTTAAGTTTGTAATTACGGGTAATCTGGAGCGGTAAGAAAATACCTAAACTTTGGGATACATGTAGAATTGGGGCTTTATGTTTGCAAGGCCTAATTAATTAGCACATGCATATTTTTTTTTATGGGTAGTTTTTTTTCTTGTAATTGTAAAAGTAGCAATGAAGCATTAGAAACTTTGGGGAAAGAAGGCAAGAAAATCACCCATGTTCTCATCTGACCAATTATTATGGCTGTTTTTTTCGTATTTTCTCTTTTAGGCTATTTTGATGTTTTTTTGTTTGTTTTTTTTAAAAGATTTTATTTATTTATTTGACAGAGAGAAACACAGCGAGAGAGGGAACACAAGAAGGGGGAGTGGGAGAGGGAGAAGCAGGCTTCCCACTGAGCAGGGAGCCCCATGCGGGGCTTGATCCCAGGACCCTGAGATCATGACCTGAGCCGAAGGCGGACGCTAAACGACTGAGCCACCCAGGCGCTCTATTTTGATGTTTTTATCTAGTAGGAAGTACTAGGTAGGAAGTACAGTGTGTATTCTATTCATTTTTTATTTTTGCTTTGCGTATTTAACGTTATGCATTTTTCCATGTTCCATGTAGTGAATGTACCACAATTTAGATACCCATTCTCCTGGTTTTGGGTATGTAGGTTATTTACAGACATTTTGAGTAATATTTTTCAGTCACATATTCTTAATATTTACTTACTGTGATCATAGTTATTAATTGTAAAAATTTTTGTTGGTAATCAGATATTAAAAATCCTTTGTTACTTCAGCGAAAGTAATCAAGGCCAACAGTAACCGTCATAATTCATGTTAATGGTGTACCCTTGATATGATGTGATGAAAATGGCACTTTGCCATTTTCCTTTTCTTCCCTCAAAGCCATAGCCCCATTCTAGTCATGAGCGAAACATGAGACAAATTCTGATAGGGGGCATCCTGCAAGGTACCCGACCAGTACTCCTTAAAATGACCAAAGTCATCAAAAACAAGGAAAGCCTGAAAAACTGCCAGACCCAAGAGAAACTGTGTTAGCCAAGCTAAGGAGACATGCAACTAAATGTCAGGTGGATTTTGGAGCAACAACAGAAGACATTAGGTGAAGACTAAGGAAATCTGAATAAACTGGATTTTAGTTAATGATGTGTGAATATTGGCTCATTAAGTTTAACAAAAGTACCATGCTAATGTAGATGTTAATAATAGGGGATACTGGGTGCTGTGTGTGTGGGAACACTGCACTATCTTAGATTTTCTGTAAATGTAAAATTGTTCTGAAAAAGTCTACTACTAATAATTTAACAGTCCTTTGTTTATTGAATTATCACCAGAAGGATAATTACCAGAAGGAATGTGCAGACACTTTGAAATCTAATGTGGAAAAAGTTTCAAGGTAGATAATGACCTAAAAATTATGACATATACCCAAAACTTCTAGGGTTTTCCTCTTCTTTTTTTCATAGTTGGTATTTAGGATATATTTGGTGAGCTGAATTGTTGGCTAGAAAAACTGATGGCATGAGCCAAGCCAACATGGGTGTTGACTTCAGCAGCTGGTTCCAACTTGAGAACCTACTCTTACTGGTTGTTCTTTTCTCCCCCCCTCTCATTTCCTGGGCAGTCTCCATACTCAGTCACTAAGGATTTGAGATTTTTCATTAAAACAAACAAAAAACCACCTTTATATTTATTGAGCTAGGCACTGTGCTAGGAACTTTTAGAAGGTATGCCTTGTGAAGATATTAGGTATTCAAATAAAGCAACAAAAGTTCCCACAGGATTAAACAGAAGAAATTTGCTTTTGAAAAGCAGGAAGAGCCTGGGGAGATGGAGGGGAAAAAAAAGAAAAGAAAAGTGGGAAGAGTTTTGCTTTGCTGTTTCTGAGTTGATTTGCATTCATAACAAATCAAATGCAATGCTTTTATTTTGGCCTGAGCTAGATTTGTAATTTTACTGCATGTAAATCTGGCGGGAATTTTATTCTACCGTAAAACTTTATTATTTCAGCTTTAGTAAAGGGCCCCAGGCTGCGCCTTTTGTAGACATTTCCTTTTATAACCTTGGTCATATTACTCTGTTGGGGTTTTGGGTGGTGGGATTGGTCTTCATATACAAGATAGGTTTATCCTTTTTTTTTTTTTTAAAGATTTTATTTATTTATTTGACAGAGACACAGCGAGAGAGGAAACATAAGCAGGGAGAGTGGGAGAGAGAGAAGCAGGCGCCCCGCGGAGCAGGGAGCCCGATGCGGGACTCGATCCCAGGACCGTGGGATCATGACCTGAGCTGAAGGCAGTTGCTTAACCAACTGAGCCACCCAGGCGCCCCTGTTGAACCACATCTTACAGAGAGATGGGAAGACCTGAATTTACTGGTTGGAATATTAATTATCATTTTAAAATTGGGCGGGGAGGTGTGATTGGCCAATAAATGTCAGTAGGCTGTTTGCTTCTACATGAAATGACTTTGCTACAGATAGTAGTTTTTGAGTGCTGTGTTTAAGGCTTGTATTTGGGAGGAGGACTGGGTCATCTTTTTTTTTTTTTTTTAATTGAAGTATAGTTGAGACACAATGTTATGTTAGTTTCAGGTGTACAACATGGTGATTCCACGACTGTATGTTATGTTGTGCTCACCACAAGTGTAGTTACCATCTTTCACCATACAATGCTATTGTATATATTCCCTCTGCTCTACCTTTCATCCCTATGACTTATTCCCCTGTACCCATTTTGCCCACCCCCGCCTTCCCTTTTGCAACTGCCAGTTTGTTCTCTGTATTTATATGCCTGTTACTGCTTTTTTGTTTATTTGTTCATCTATTTTGTTTCTTAGATTCCATATGTAAGGAAAAATCATATGTTGTCTTCAGCTTACTGACTTAATTTCCTTAGCACAGTACCCTCTAGATCCATCCATGTTGTCATAAATAGCAGGGTCTTATTATTTTTCATGGCTGAGCAACATTCCATTGTGTGTGTATAAGTATACATACACACTATTCTTTCTTTATCCATTCACCTACCAGTGGATGCTTGGATTGCTTCCATATCTTGGCTATTGTAAGTAGTGCTGCAGTAAACGTAGGGGTGCATATATCTTTTCGAGTTAGTGTTTTTGTTTTCCTTGGGTAAACACCCAGAAGTGGAATTACTGGATTGTATGATACTATATATTTTTAATTTTTTGAGGAACCTCCATACTCCTTTCCACAGTTTACATTCTCACACCTAACAGTGCACAGGGGTTCCTTTTTCTCTACATCCTTGCCAACACATTATTTCTTATCTTTTTGATACTAGCCATTTGACAGGTATAAGGTGATATCTTATTGTGGTTTTTACTTAGGAGGGTTCTTTCTTGCTAACGTGTCAGCAGCTTCACCTTTTGCTCCTGTTCGCTTTATCTGATCTTTTATAATTTGGGAAGCCAGATAATTGCATTGTTTAAATATTTTATTTATTTATTTATTTATTTATTTATTTATTTGACAGAGAGAGACACAGAGAGAGAGGGAACACAAGCAGGGGGAGTAGGGGAGGGAGAAGCAGGCCTCCCGCGGAGCAGGGAGCCAGACACAGGGCTCGATCCCAGGACCCCGGGATCATGACCCGAGCCGAAGGCAGACGCCCAACGACTGAGCCACCCAGGCACCCCTTGCATTGTTTAAATGCTAAAACATGTATAAGTTAGGGCGCCTGGGTGGCTCAGTTGGTTAAGCGACTGCCTTTGGCTCAGGTCATGATCCTGGAGTTCTAGGATCGAGTCCCGCATCGGACTCCCTGCTCGGCAGGGAGTCTGCTTCTCCCTCTGACCCTCCTCCCTCTCATGCTCTCTGTCTCTCATTCTCTCTCTCAAATAAATAGATAAAATCTTTAAAAAAAAAAAAAGAATAACTTTAAAAAAAAACATGTATAAGTTAGCTTTGCATGAAGTTCATGGCAGTGACTGAGGGATGTGAACTTCTCTTGAATCTTTATTCCTGCACAGAGGCCTTTTTTTGTTGGTTTCTACATTTCACATGTGATTTGCTCTCAAAGGACTTCTGGGTAAATGTATTATTTAACTGTTTGATTCACTTTTTTAATAGGAAAAGATATTTAAGTGAAATACAAAGATTGAAAGTTAAGCTAGCTCTACATGCCTATTTTATATTTTTGAATTAAGCTATTTTTGAATCTTTATGAGATTATATGTACTTTTTTTTTTCTCTACTAGTTTATTCTCCAGATATGCCTTCACGGCTTCCCATCCAAGACATATTTGCCGGACTGGTTACAAGTATTGGCACTGCAATACGATACTGGTTTCATTATACACTTGTGGCCTTTGCATGGTTGGGAGTTGTTCCTCTTACAGCATGTGAGTATTCATTTCTCTGTGATTGGAGTTATACAACTTATAAAGTTGTATAAGTATTCAATTTGGTAATATTGCATCATATTTTTCTTTGAATGATATTTATTTGATGTTACAATTTCATGTATTAGGAAAGCCTCACTTAGGAAACATTGTCCACCTAAATTAAGAATTTTTAACAGATCATTTTCTTGAATGAATGTGGGAATGAAAAACAGCATACAGAGGCTAATAATGAAAGTTCATGAAAGAATTGAAGAAGCAAAATCAAATTAGAAGGATCTTGATTTTTATTCTTTGAAGTATATTAGAACTTTCAAGGGATTGCAAAAGTTAGATTATTTTGAGATTTTTTTCCCCCTCCCTTTTAAAAGACAGCTCATATATTTGTAATAGTCCTGAATAATTGGGAGGCTTATCTTTCAAGATATAGGAGATTTTCTGGGAGGTTGGTATACTAGCCCTTAGTTGATCCCTTTTGGGTTTTTGTTTTTAGAGACATGCAGAAGGGTAGATAGTATATGGTGCCAGAGTATGTAGCTATGATTCTTTGGAGTTAAATGCAAATGAGATTTTTAAATAAGTATAATTAATATCCTGGTGTTTCTTTACAATAAAATAAATAAAATTGATCATTTATGAAGATGAAAATCTTTGGGGATACATTGAATAGCAGAATAGGTATTATTGAAAAGTGAGGTAGTGAACTAGGAGATTGAGCAAGGGTTCTCTTGGATGTAACTCAAAGAGACAAGAAGTTGCAAGTATGAGGAGAAAAAAACCAGGAGATGAAAGCTGCATCCAGTTGTTTCAGTACCTGTCTAGTAAGTACTTTCACAAGGTGAAAGATCACGGACATGAGGAAATGTCAGGCATCTTTTCGATTGAAAGAGAGCTGACCATGGTGAAGGACAGAGCCTCACAAACCTAGACACATTAAGTTTTCCAGGGCTGAATAAAATGGTAGATGTTCCACTTGCACATTATCCTACAAAGTAAAAATCATACAGGTGTCAGACATAAAATTAGCAGCTCTGAATGCTACAGGACAGCAGAAACTTTAGACTTTGACAACATTTCTGAACTTGAAATCTACCCATAAATTATTCTCAGATGGAGGGACAAAATAAAGACATGTCAGTAGATGTAAGGGCATGAAAAGTTTGCCACCTCAAACTATTTATGAAAAAAGTGTTTGAGAATATACTTTACCAAAATGAGTGAGGAATCAGAAAGGCATGAGCTACAAAGAAAAAGAGACAGGTGCTTCCCACAGCTAACTAGCAGTTGTTTTAATCTACAATGACTAGCAATTTTTAGGTAGTAGCCAGGAACTAAAATTCTGGATGATTTTAACATGGGAGAAGCTAAGAGGAGAGGGTAGAAATGAGAGCTTCCTAAGTTATTTTATTTTGTGAGGAGACTGTAGATGCTCTAGACAGAGAGAGGAAAATACTGTGTGACTCTGCATTAAAAATTATGGGAGTAACCAACTAGAGTCCAGAACTAGACTGACATCTGCACTATCACCTGATTCACAACAAAGGTGCCACTGCTGTTTAGTGGAGGAAGGATGATTCTTTCAATAAATGGTATAGCATCAACTGGATGGCCATATGAAGAAAAATGAAACGTCATTATTTCACACCTGACACAAAAATTAATTTGAGATGGATCATAAGCTTGAATGTGAATGTTAAAATCAGAAGATTTCTAAAAATATAGGAGAATGGGGCACCTGGATGGCTCAGTCACTTAAGCATCTGTCTCTTGATTTCAGCTCAGGTCATGATCTCAGGGTCGTGGGATTGAGCCCTGCATCAGGCTCTGCATTCAGCACAGTGTCTGCTTGAAATGCTTTCTCTCCCTCTCCTTCTGCCCCTCCCCTCATTCGTGTGCACACGGTCTCTCTCTCTGAATAAATTAAAAAAAAATTTTTTTTTTAAGATTTTATTTGTTTGAGAGAGACAAAGATAGTGAGAAGGGAGCATGAGCCGGGAGAAGAGGGAGAAGCAGGCTCCCCGCTGAGCAGGGAGCCCATACAGGACTGGATTCCAGGACCCTGGGATCATGACCTGAGCCAAAGGCAGACACTTAACCGACTGAGCCACCCAGGTGCGCAAATAAATAAAATCTTAAGAAAAAAAGAGAAAATATGGGAGAATAACCATAAAAGAAAGAAAATACTGAATAAATTGGACTTAATTAAATTAAGAACTTTTATTCATGCTTTGATACCTTTAAGAGAGAAAGGCAAGCCCCACGGAGTGAGAGAAGATTTTTGTAATACACACGTCAAACAAAGGACTTGTATCTAGAGTATGTAGGGAACTCCTAAAAATCAGTAAGAAAAAAGCAGACAACCCAAATAAAAAGTAGACAAAAGATTTGAATAGGTGTTTCTGGAAAGATCTAAATAGCCAGTAACACACAAAAAACTGCTCAGCATCATTAGTCATCAGGGAAATGCACAAGAAGATATTGCTACATACTCAGCAGGATGGGTAAAATTAAAAAAACAAGATAATACCAAATGTTTCTTAGGATGTGGAGCATTTGGAACATGCTTACATTGATGGCAGGAGTATATATGGTATAACCACTTTGGAAAACTGTTTGGCAGTTATCTATGAATGCTAAGTATTATAAATACTTTATGATTCAACAGTTCCATTTCTAGGAATATAGCTGATGGAAACCAGAGCCTTGTGTCCACTAAATGATGTTCAAGAATGACCACAGCAGCTTTGCTAATAGTAGTTAAAACTGGAACCAACGAAATACCTATCAACAGTAGTAGAGTAGATACATTGTGGTTTTTCTATACAGTGGAGTCATACTTAGTGAGGAAAGAGCTCATTATTGGGACATGGAATAACATGGAGGAGTTTTACTTTGAGAGAAAGGAGCGAGGCACAAAAGAGTATGGATTGTATGATTGCATTTATGTGAAATTTTAAAGTAGGCCAAATTGATCTATGGTGATAGAGATCAGAATGGTGGTTATCTTTTTGCTGGAGATACTGACTAGGAAGGGGATTGAGGAGCCTTCCAGGGAGCTGGAAATGCTGAATATCTTGATCCTAGGTGGCAGTTTCCTGGATATGTACATACATAATAATTCACCCAGACGTATACTTAAGATTCATGTAAATTTTATCTTAATAAAAAGTAACAAAACTTAAAGGTAAGTGCCAGAAGAATAGAAGTGGGGTTATGAGTTTTTGTCCTGAGAAGTCAGAGTATGAAACCGCAAATATTTGGAAAGTCCAACAAAAGGAAGGACAGGGACGGAGGGCAGGGGGAGGGAAGTAAGAGAGGAAAGGGTAAGGTTGCAACTTCTGTGATCATAAGAGTTCACACAGTTGTGTACAGAGGAACGTGGTTTACTATGAGAAATAAGTACAGAGCAGCGCAGGTTAATGCTAGAGGCATGTTAGCTAATGCTGACAGAACATAGGAACAGTGTTCATCAGCCAGATGTCATTCAAGATGAAAAGCTTTAAATGGAGCAAAGCATTATATTTCATATTAGTAAAGGGCATAGTCATAAGAAAGCAAAACTTAATTTTTTTTTTTAAAGATTTTATTTATTTGACAGAGACACAGCAAGAGAGGGAACACCAGCAGCGGGGAGTGGGAGAGGGAGAAGCAGGCTTCCCGCAGAGCAGGGAACCCGATGCGGGGCTCGATCCCAGGATCCTGGGATCATGACCTGAGCCGAAGGCAGACGCTTAACGACTGAGCCACCCAGGCGCCCCGAAACTTAAGAACTTTTATGCACCAGAGTACAGGACTTCGATATATGTAAAGCGTTCACGGTCAAGTGGAAGACTAACCCTCTCCAAAATCAGATCAAATAATCAAAAGTTAAGTAGGGACTTAAAAGATTTAAGTAATGCAGTTAACAAGCTGCATCTCTGTTCTGACTTGTTTACATATGCTCATATACATGCGCATAATTAAAATTTAAGTTCTGTCACAGAATACATAGTCTGTAACTTTTTTCTTTAAGTTAGCAGTGTACCCTGGTATTTTTCCATGTGAGAATGTGTTGAGTTACTGTACTTTTTTTTTTTTTTTTTGAGCTACCTTATTTTTTAGATGCATCAGAGCACTCTGTAGGAAGGAGGCCTTTAATTTGTGAATCCATTATCTTATTTGCAGATATTTGGTTTGTTGTCAGTTTTACTTTGTTACAAGCATACTTGTTTTGAATATTTTATACACATATGTAAGAAATTTCTATTACAGAAATTTTTTCCTACCTTTTCATTTTGATTTGGTTTTTGAAAACAGCCATTGAAGTCACTGAAAATTTCTGATACGAGGCTATAGGGAATGCTTAAACTAGCATACATGTAGTTTGGTTAGAAAGAAAATCTTAGCTGTTTCCTCTTGGGCCCTGTTTCTGTTCTTGCCTTTCTGACTAAGAGGTGCCCCAGGGTTTTTTTT